ATGCGTAAATATTGGCTTCCAGTGCGTCAATCGTTGCTGGTTTATCCCTGTAGACATTAGCCTTAACATCGCCCCACAAGAAATAGTCCAACGGCGTTAAATCACACGATCTAGGCGGCCAATTGACGGGCCCCAAACGTGAGATAAACTGTTCACCGAACTCGCCTCTCAATAGGGCCATTGTTTCGTGTGCGGTGTGGCATGTGGCACCGTCTTGTTGAAACCACATGTCAGCTCTTCCATTTTGGGCAAAAAAAAGTTTATCATCCCACGGTAGCGCTCGCCATTCACAGTTACGTTCCGGCCATTGTCGTCTTTGAAGAAGTACGGCCCGATGATGCCACCGGCCCATAATCCACACCAAACAGTGATTTTTTCGGGATGCATTGGTAGCTCTTGCACTGCTTCTGGCTGGTCTTCACTCCAGATGCGGCAATTTTGCTTGTTAACGTACCCATTCAACCAGAAATGAGCTTCGTCGCTGAACACAATTTGTCGATAAAAATGTGGATCTTCCTCCAACTTTGCCAGCGCCCATTCACCAAATTGGAAACGTTGTGGGAGGTCGTGTGGATTCAATTCTTGCACCAGCTGAATCTTATAAGGTTTTACACCCAAATCCTGTCGCAAAATTTTCCACGTAGTGGAGTAACAGAGGCGCAATTGCTGCGAACGGCGGCGAATCGACATTTCACGGTCATCACTAACACTGGCGGATACAGCCGCAATATTTTCTTTAGTCCTCACTCTACGTCTGCGTGTTGGTGGTTTAATGTCCAATAATATAAACTGGGTTCGAAATTTAGTCACAAGCTTCCGAATAGCTCCCTCAGTAAGCCGACCAAAATGCCCATCATAACCGAGCATGAATTTTGATAGTAAAATTCAATAATTTGCAAGCGTTGTTCGTTCGTAAGTCGATTCATGGTTAAATTATTGACCAAACTGAACAAGTTTGACGATTACACAAGACACGATTCACGCGTCATCTGTCAAAAACAGTGTTGCCAAAAAGATACTAGCAAAAAAATCACCCATTATTATGTCAAATGGCTAGAGATACAGAAGGGTGGACAAGACATCGAGTACCGCGGTTTAACGCTGAAACGGTGGTTACCCAGTCCGCGTCTATGCATTGTTGACATTTTCTACAACTTGTATTGTTCGTATATTTCTCAGTTTGTAATACTTTTTTGCAAAAACATGAATAACGATTAGAATCACCATGCGAAGCGAGTATTTTGAGCCTGGCCAGACACCTCAATGCTAATCCTCGACCAACTAACCACTTTGGCATTCAAAAATAAACATGATACCTGAAGTATGTAACATTGCTGCGTCGACGATGCAATGAAAACAATAAACAGTCAACAGAGTAAGATGCGACAGGTTCATTATTTGTAACCGGGCTAGTATTTATATCGTATTTTGCATTGACAGACTCGTTGGGTGTTCAAATGGACTCGCCTAGGTGTCCACAGTCTGGATACGCACCTTATGATTTGAGTTTAATTATCTTGAGGCAAGGTTGACAGACTAGAACTACCTAACTATCAATTCAGGTATATTTCTCAATATACTCACAGGGTTGGTGGTAATATAGAACATGCATGTTTTTTTGTATTCTCTGTCGGTTATTTATGTTAATATACAGGGTGGCGCATCGAAAACGAAACACGCATTTACTGACAGCTCAGTTTTTTTTTGGAAAAACGCTCAGACCCGTCGATTTTGTTTTCGAGGGGGACACAAGTTTGGCAAGAAGTCACGTTAGGACGTGCAGCCCCCTAAGCGGGGGTGACATCAACCCTAAAATCTTAAATAGAAAGGGGGATCGAGTGATACCTTATTTTAAAGGTCTTTCAATTTCCTTTATAGTGATGTAAAATACGTGAGCTTCAGTTCAACAGTTTTGAAGATTTATTGATTTAAAGCTTAAAGTAGACTTTAACAGGTACATCAGATTAGTTTGTACTGCTTTCAGAAGAAATTTGACTAAAAGAATTAACTTAATAAGTAAATGCCTTTCTTCAGTACGCCCATGGTTTGTTTATCATTTTGTTGTTGAAAATAGCTATTGGAGCGTTTTTTGTGGCAAAAAAGTTATTTCTTGAAGAAAGATAAGGACATATCTCGTACTTATTTTAAATAGGAATTTAGTACATAGTTTGCGGTTGATTTGACCAAATTTTTTTGCTAAAATAACTTGTAACGCTTTATTACATAAATTAACCATGGTATATTCCACAGCAGAAAGAGTTGAAATTATCGAAATATTTTTCGGAAATAATCAGTGCGCTAATAGAACAGCAGAAATATTTGATGGGCGACATGAGATCAGTAACGTGCATCAAAAATATGTTCTAGAACTTGTAGCTAAATTTCGGGAAACTGGGTTAGTCGCCAATAAAAAACGCAACATTGGAAATCCCATAACGAACGAAGCAATAGAAGTAGGGGGTTTTAGGGCAAGTTTATGTAGATCCTACGTTAAGCACCCGCGAATTGTGGTGTTAGTGGATGTACTGTCCAACGGATTCTAAAAGCCCATAGTTTTCATCCTTATAAAATTCACCTGGTACAAGAACTTAATGAAGACGATTTTGATCGGCGATAACAATTTTTTTAGATATGAGTGAACGAATTATAAACGATGAACATTTTCTATTCAACACTTGCTTTTCCGACGAATGCTCCTTTTTCTTAAATGGCGTAGTAAATCGTCATAACTGCCGATATTGGTCCGATTCTAATCCCAGAATTTATCATGAGGTTCATACACAGCAGCCACAAAGATTAAATGTTTGGGCTGGTATTTTTGGCGATGGTCCTTTTTTCTTACCTGGAAATTTGACCAGTGAAATGTATTTGGAATTACTGGAAGACGCCATAGGTCCTACATTAACAGCCATAATTGAAAATCAGAATGATCGGCGGTACATTGCGAATAGGTTGATGTTCCAACAGGATGGTGCCTCACCACATTACGCATCACGTGTTCGACAATATTTAGATCAGACGTTTCCAGATCGATGGATTGGTAGAAGAGGTGCCATTGAATGGCCCCCAAGATCGCCAGATTTATCACCTTTGGATTTCTTTATGTGGGGTCATTTAAAAAGCAAAATCTATGTTACTCAGCCAAGATCATTAGAAGACCCGCGACAAAGAATTGTGAATGAGTGCCTTCAAATTACTCCTCAAATGTTGCATATCGTACGGCAAAGTTTTGAGCAAAGTCTTTATTATTGCATGGAGAGTCATGGTGGCCATTTTTAACATTTACTTGCCTAACGGGTCAGTTCATTCTTCATTTCTGAATTACTTTGCTGACAAATGTATTGATCTCCACTAATGATGATGTATTAGTTTTATTTACGCTTTTAATTAATAAATCTTCAACACTACTGAAGCGAAGTACATTAATTTTAAGGTATCACTCGACCTCCCTTTCCATTTAAGATTTTGGGGGTGGTGTCACCCCCGCTTAGGGGGCTGCACGTCCTACCGTGATTTCTTGCCAAACTTGTGTCCCCCTCGAAAACAAAATCGACAGGTAAATGCGTCTCTTTCGTTTTCGATGCGCCAGCCACCCTGTATGTAATACCGTAGTCACGTACATACGTATGTCATCCATAGAAATGTCTACATTTAGAGGTAAGAAAACCGATAAAATGACAACTTGCTGCCTAGACAGTTCCTAGAGTCCAAACAGTACATTCCGCGTTTTCTCGCTATGAGCTCTGTGAGCATCATCAAACGCGTCCATCTATGAAGGAATGATTTAACAACACGACACACTTAAGGTGGCTACAGATCCAACTGCAAGCTTGTCCAGCATGCTTATTCAATCTTTTTATACAGGAATGCTCAATTTGCCTTTGGCACCACACGTGCAAGCACGCTTGATAAAAGTAGAGGTAGTTAAATAAAGTATGTCGATCTCGGGCGACGTTGCACTCGCTTTGGCCTCTTTTCTTCTTGTGAAGAAAAGAAAATCCCGAATAAAAAAGTGTGCGGTGTGGTGTTAAGAATGGTTGATGAAAAGGAAAACCTATATCCGAGTGACTGGGACAATTATCTTAGAATGGATAAAGAGACGTATTTAAACCTTTTGTCTCTTGTATCGCCTTTGATTTAAAAGCAGGATATGATCATCAACGGACACCAACTTGTGCAAGCTTGAAAATCTTGAGTTCTCACGCACCGTTTTGCTTGCGCAAGCACGCCTAATTCAAGCATGCATAAATAAAATCAATTCATTCCTCAAGCTGCTTGTACAATTACAAAGCTTGTACCACATTTCCCTCCAGACATTCAAGCGTGCTTTAACAAAAAGAATGAACAAGCATGCTCGACAAGCTTGCAGTTGTGTCTGTAGCCACCTTTACTGACGATGCTGCAAGCTGCAAGACAGTTCCTCATCATGCTTTGTTGGTTGCAGAATGCCGAGATAGTCTGTAGAGTTTACTCTGCGAAGATGTGTGATTAAGTAGCAGAGTAGCAAGATTTCTATTTAGCACCAAGCTACTTATCCCCACTACCCGTTTGCTAATTATAAACAACAGACCAATCGTTTAAATGTTTCGTCTTTTATATTTCTATCTCCACCAGGAAATGGGCAAAATTTGAGATTTATCACTGATTCCTTAACAATTCATCTTTCCGTCACAATAGGAACAGCCACAATAAATTTTGAAGCGTATTTAGGTATGATTTATGAAGTTAAATGAATCATGAAAGCGTCTGGTTCCGAATCTTGGGTTTTGGTTTTTCTCAAACTATTTGTAACGGTGTGTGGGAATTGTTTTGGCAACGCTTGCAAGACTTTCTCGAATACATCCTTTTGTTTACCCAACGGCGTTCATTTTTGGATGATAGGTTGTTTGAGGTTTATATTTTATTACCTACTTCTTTGAATTATTTGCCGACTTATTGAAATCACGTTCTGTTTGCCGAATAAAAGTTTGTTCACTTCGGAAATTAACCTTATATCAAAGATGCCTGTATCTACAGCATCAAAGTTGAAGGAGCTTTCTATAGGATAAATAGTGCATATGTTTAGTTCTCCATATTTTCTATAGAAGCACTGATAACGGTTGTACTATTTCGCATAATGCAAAAAACGATGAGAAAACTCTCAGCATTCAACAAAGTGATCATATCTCTAAAAGGTATTCCCCCTCTGAGAGAAATAGCTACTACGCACATGATAGTTGTGATGAATGACGATGTGAAAGCGATTGCCGATTGTGACATACGGCCACCGACGACGACGCTTGTCCATCGGGAGATGGTGTCACACGAATCGACACCCGACCGTAGGAGATATTTTAAGGGTAAATGTACGGGGCATCTATGATGAGTGAAATATGGAAAATATGTGCATTGAGTTACTGAGGCTGGAGGCATATAAATATACCTACATAAAAAATTGAGAAATTGAGAAATTTTTCAGGAGCATCTGAAACGTCAAAAGATGCAGTTTGAGCGATTTTTTTATGTTTTTAGCCTTTTTCTCTGCATCCACATAAATACCTAAAAATCTTATATGAAAAGTTTTTCCGTTCCTGTCAACACTTTCGATTGGATCCCCAAAAACACGCTTTCTCATCCTTTTTTGTCAAATGAAAAGTTTTCCCACAAAAATTGGTGTGCCCATTTTATGCGTCCATGTTTTAAATACCCCCTTGAACAACTTTCAGAAATAAAACCAGACGTTACAATTATGTCGAAGAAATTTTCTAATATGATTAGTTTATAGAGTACATATTGATAAGAACATAGTGATTTAAAATGTACTTTGAAGATATATGTTTTGGAGAAACCTTACTTGCTGAGATGTCGGAGAGAAAATAATAGGCGGAGATGTTGGGTTAGTGGTGGTTGAAAATTTGGAGTTATGAGTTGGATATATCTCATTTATTTGGCGTTGGTAGACTTATCGCGGTACAGTGTGAGAAATATTGTTAAAAGATATAACGTATCTGGTTCAGTTAATATTGAGCCACGATATGTGAAAAAAAGTAACATCACAAATGCCGACCGAAGAGCATTAAGAAGAATAATCGTGAAAAACAGGCGTGCCAATTATTTACATTTAAGTGCTCTGTGGAGTGACGCTGTTGGAAGGAGAATTTCTAGGTCCACAACTCATAGAGAGGCCCACAAACTGGGATTTAGCACTTCTTATAAAAAAAAGTGAAGTAAAATCCCTAAAGTTGCACAACTTGTTTAGAGGCTAAAGAAAAGCCACTATTAACTCCACTGCAAAAGAAAAATAGGCTTAGATGGGCTAAAGCACATAGACAATGGACACCTCAACAATGGTGTGCAATACAATGGAGTGATGAGGCCCGATTCGAAGTTTGTGTTGGTGACAGTCGCAGTAGAGTTATTCGCAAAAAAATGAAGCATTCCATGTTAACTGTCTGAAGAGAAAAGTGAAATTTCCAGCATCAATTATACTCTGGGGTAGTATGTCATCAAAAGTAGTAGGAAAACTTCATTTTATTGATGGAAATGTGGATACAAACAAATATTTGGCAATTTTAAAAGAATCGCTTTTACCAGTGATGGGAGAATGTTTGACATCCGACCAAGATTTTGTGTTTCAGAAAAATGGTGCAGCGTGCCATACCTCAAAAAAGGCTATAAAATGGATGGAAGAAAATAATGTACCACTTTTGGAATGGGTTTCTAGCAGTCCAGATCTGTCACTTATTGAAGCTTTGTGGCACTAGATGCAAAAGGTTCTACGACAACATCCTGCCCGTACAATAACCGAACTGAGACAAAAGCTCCAAGAAATATGGGATTGTTTTACACCAAATTTTTGCCAAAACTGCGCCCCAAAGAATTTTAGCCGTAATAAAAAGTAAAGGTGATGTTACCCAATGGTAATCTTTCAATTGTTGCTTTGTTAACTTCGCGCATTTATTCGCACATTGTTTATTTGTTCAGATGCTCTATTAGTTATAGGACTAAGTGATTTCGAATATGTATTTTTTACGACTAGAGTGTATCTAAAATATTTCTGAGAAAATAAATTGTTTTAGAAGGAAATAGTTTCGTCATGTTTAGTTTATAAAGGCATATTTTGGTAAAAATCTTGAAGTGGGCCAACTGAAGTGGGAAGGGACTCGTATTAGACATGTTTCACTCATCATAGATGTCCCTCTCAACAGAAATATCTCCTACAATCGATACGTGCGACGTGGTCCTCCGATGGACAAGCGTCCTCGTCGGTAGTCGTTCGCCACAGTCGGCAATCGCTTTCGCATTGCTACTCACACTGTGCATTTGAAGGCCAATATCGTCATTTGATCAAACATAATCCCTTACGAACTGTTGGCAGCTTTGCGTGGGAAATACAGAGTCAACCTACTTGACGCCATTTCTTTTTCGCTTAAAAAATGTACGAAAGCGTGCATGTCAGTTCTCCATGACCGCGACTTAACTCCTCTACCGCTCAGTGACAGTTGCGTCACGACGCAAGACGTCGCGCGCCATTAAAAATAGCCACTTTGGCAAATCGACAAAGCGACCGACGTCCCGAAACCGGCCAGTTGAACTTTTGCCGCTTCCCGACACGCCGGCGAATCCCGGCAATTCGCGAAATACGCGAAACATCCACGGTGCGATGCGAATTTCGCTCTGACGGAGATACGAGCATTTGGATTTGGTTCAGGTGTGACGACAGGTATAGTGCTAGCGGTACATTGGAAAAACTGCACTGTTTGGTGATTGGAGATTGAGGTGGTTTTGTATAGTGATATTCTGTGCACTGAAAAATAATTGATCAAACCAATTAAAATTTTAGTCAACACATAAGAACGTAATTAGCTACGTGATAGCTGAAAAGTTTCATTATACTCCGATTTCTAAAACACTGACTTGACTTGAATCTATAAAAATAGTATATAAATGTATTAAGCCGTTTCTTAGATTGAGTTTGTCCATTTATTGAAAATTGAAGAACTATTAAAATGAGTTTACCTGCTCCAAGTAAAACAGTTTAATTATATATACAGGGTGGCGCATCGAAAACGAAACAGACGCATTTACTGGCAGCTCAGTTTTTTTTAGAAAAACGGTCAGACCCATCGATTTTGTTTTCGAGGGGGACACAAGTTTGGCAAAAAATCACGTTAACACATGCAACGCCCTGGGCGGGGGTGACACCAACCCTAAAATCTTAAATGGAAAGGGGGGTCGAGTGATACCTTGTTTTAAAGGTCTTTCAATTCCCTTTAAAATGATGTAAAATACATGAGCTTCAGTTCAGTAGTTTTGAAGATTTATTGATTTAAAGCTTAAAGTAGACTTTAGTAGGAACATCAGATTAGTTTGTACTACTTTCAGAAGAAATTTGACTAAAAGAATTTACTTAATAAGTAAATGCCTTTCTTCAGTACGCACATGGTTTGTTTATCATTTTGTTGTTGAAAATAGCTTTTGGAGCGTTTTTTTGTGGCAAAAAAGTTATTTCTTGAAGAAAGATAAGGAAATATCTCGTACTTATTTTAAATAGGAATTTAGTACATAGTTTGCGATTGATTTGACCAAACTTTGCTGCTAAAATAACTTGTAACGCTTTATTACATAAATTAACCATGGTATATTCCACAGCAGAAAGAGTTGAAATTATTGAAATATTTTTACGGAAATAATCAGTGCGCTAACAGAACAGCAGAAATATTTAATAAGCGACATGGAAACAGTAACGTGCATCGAAAATATGTTCTAGAACTTGTAGCTAAATTTCGGGAAACTGTGTCAATCGCCAATAAAAAACGCAACATTGAAACTCCCATAAGGAACGAAGCAATAGAAGTGGGGGTTTTAGGGCAAGTTTATGTAGATCCTACGTTAAGTACTCGCAAATTGGAGACTGTGTGTGGTGTTAGTTGACGTACTGGCCAACGGATTCTAAAGGCCTATACTTTTCATCCGTATAAAATTCACCTGGTACAAGAACTTAATGAAGACGATTTTGATCGGCGATTACAATTTTGTGAAGATATGAGTGAACGATGAACATTTTCTATTCAACACTTGCTTTTCCGACGAGTGTTCCTTTTTCTTAAAAATGGCGTGGTAAGTCGTCATAACTGCCGATATTGGTCCGATTCTAATCCCAGAATTTATCATGAGGTTCATACATAGCAGCCTCAAAAATTAAATGTTTGGGCTGGTATTTTTGGCGTTCATTAAGTTGGTCCTTTTTTCTTACTCGGAAATTTGACCGGTGAAATGTATTTGGAATTACTGGAAAACGCCATAGAACCTTCATTAACAGCCATAATTGAAAATCAGAATGATCGGCGGTACCTTGCGAATAGGTTGACGTTCAAATAGGATGGTCTCCCACCACATTACGCATTACGTGTTCGACAATATTTAAATCAGACGTTTCCAGATCGATGGATTGATAGAAGAGGTGGCATTGAATGATTTATCACCTTTGGATGTCATTATGTGGAGTTATTTAAAAATCAAAATCTATGCTACTCAGCCAACATCATTAGAAGACCTGCGACAAAGAATTATGAACGAGTGCCTTCAAATTACTCCTCAAATATTGCAAAATGTGCGGCAACGTTAAGAGCAAAATCTTTATTATTGCATGGAGAGTCATGGTTGCCATTTTCAACATTTACTTGCCTAACAGGTCAGTTCATTCTTCATTTTTAAATTACTTTGCTGCCAAATGTATTGATCTCCACTAATGATGATTTATTAGTTTTACTAGAGCTTTAAACCAATAAATCTTCAAAAATACTGAATTGAAGTACATTAATTTTATATCGTTATAAGGGGAATTGAAAGACCTTTAAAATAAGGTATCACTCGACCCCCTTTTCTATTTAAGATTCTGGGGGTGGTGTCACCCCAGCTTAGGGGCTGCACGTGCTAACGTGACTTTTTGTCAAACTTGTGTCCCCTTCGAAAACAAAATCGACGAGTCTGAGCGTTTTTCAAGCTGCCAGTAAATGCGTCTGTTTCGTTTTCGATGCGCCACCCTGTATTCTAAATTTGTTTAGCTGGTGTAGGTAAAAGTATCTGCTTGGTTTTAATTTACTATTTCATTTAGATTTATAGGTGTATTTGTAAAATATTGGGAATTTGTTGCTACAACTGTGCTTTTGCAAATCTAAGTTATTAAAAAATTTGGAAAACATGATATTGTTAATTGACACTTTCTAATGAAAATGAAAAGTTTCTATCCCACAGAATTGGATATTTTTTATTTTCATTGATGGTGAATTTATACGTATATATATGGGATCAAATTCTATCAATTATTTGTTATAATATCACCATTCACTATAAGTAATTCTTTGTTCTAAATTTAGAAAGTAGGAAAAGGGATACCTGAAACTCAATAAGGCAACAATTGTACTTCTATTTCTAATAGTAAAACGATATTGCACTCACACGCTGTCGACGCATTTACATATATAAATAAATTCGACATCACTTTAAACAAACTAGCGTGTTTTCAAATACTACAAAGTTTGCACCAACAGGAGGCTCACCTTTCTATACAGGGTGACTTTGAAGTTGAGTCATTAATTTTCAGATAATGATTGTAGAAGGAAGATAAACCAAAATATGTGTGTAAAAATAAAAAAAAAAATTAAAAAAAAAATTTTACCTTGTTTTATAAAGTATCCTCCCGACAAGTATTTCAGTGCGGACCTGTATTTGATCGTGAGGTCTTGGAGCACCGGCATGCCGTTCATATGTGAGGTCTTAAGTCAAATGATTCACGAACCCGTTGTACTACATTAACAAAGGCACGAGGGGTTGGTTGCACTCGATTGGGAAACCGATCCGCATAAACATGTGCCATTTTTTATTTCGTTTGAGCCACGCAACAGACACCACTATTCACTGACACTGACTGTATACAAATGAATAAAATAATTGTAAAAACATCGTTCCAAATTCTTTCGCTTTTTTGTTTCCGATGCGATGAACCGATAAGGCGGATTATATCCGTTGTCGCCAAACACGAGCACATAATATTATTATTGAGACAGGGCGGTACTCAAACTTCCAAAGGGCTATAACTTGACTCAACTTCGAAGTCCCCTGTATATACATTATACAATACACTCACTGAATCCATCAGAACATTTAATCAATCTATTGCATTAATAACGATAGACCACTGAAGTAACAGTCTTCATTGAACTTCAAAAAAATTTTTATGCATCGATATCTAGTTTAATAAAAGACACTGGTTTCATTAAAATGTTCTTTTAAATGTACCCTGCTATACATATAAACTTAATCAGCTAAACCGTTTAATCAAACAGGTACATGATTTGCTATTTTGAAGCAAATTTGTTTAATATTATATTACTTCCATCTAAACTGGTTCTAGAAAATTCAGTTTATTTAAGCCGAATAGTTTAGTTGCTTAGAATAATTGAAAAATTTACTACGGGTGATAAAAATTTTCCAGAAAAACTGTTTAATGGACCACGTTTTCTGGGTGTGAAAATGTGAACTCAACTAGGCTGACTCGATATAGGGCTCAAATCAATATGAATATGTGCCTTAACTACGCACTCTTACATATTACTGACATTCTATAAAATCCTGGCTCAAAAAACGAAAAAACGAAAAAAACATCACTTACGAGCCCCTTCCCTCTTCAGTTGGCCCACTTCAAGATTTGTACCAAAATATGCCTTTATAAACTTAACATGACGAAACTATTTACTTCTAAAACAATTTATTTTCTCAAAAACATTTTAGATACACTCTAGTCGCAAAAAATACATATTTGAAATCACTTAGACCTATAACTAATAGAACATCTGAACAAATAGACAATGTGCGAATAAATGCGCGAAGTTAACAAAGCAACAATTGAAAGATTACCATTGGGTAACATCACCTTTATTTTTTATTACAGCTGAAATTCTTTGGGGCATAGTGTTAACCAAGTTTTGGCAAAAATTTGGTGTAAAACCATCCCATATTTCTGGAAGCTTTCGTCTCAGTTCGGTAATTGTACGAGCAGGATATTGTCATAGAAACTTTTTCATCTCGTGCCACAAAGTTTCAATAGGTGACAGATCTGGACTGCTAGAAACCCATTTCAAAAGTGGTACATTATTTTCTTCCAGGCTTTTTTGAGGTATGGCACGCTGCACCATCTTGCTGAAACACAAAATCTTGGCCGGATGTCAAACATTCTTCCATAACTGGTAAAAGCGATTCTTCTAAAATTGCCAAATATTTGTTTGTATCCACATTTCCATCAATAAAATGAAGTTTTCCTACGCCTTTCGATGACATACTGCCCCAGACCATAATGGATGCTGGAAATTTCACTTTTTTCTTCAGACAGTCAACATGGAATGCTTCATTTTTTTGCGAATAACTCTACTGCGACTCTCACCAACACAAACTTCGAATCGGGCCTCATCACTCCATTCTATTGCACACCATTGTTTAGGTGTCCATTGTCTATGTTTTCTAACCCATCTATGCCGATTTTTCTTTTGCAGTGGAGTTAATAGTGGCTTTTCTTTGGCCTATAAACAAGTTGTGCAACTTTAGGGTTTTTACTTCACTTTTTTTTATAAGAAAACTTACCTTGCAAGTGCTAAATTCCAGTTTGTGTGCCTCTCTATGAGTTGTGGACCTCGAAATTTTCCTTCCAACAGCGTCACTCCACAG